AAGGAGAACAGACACAATGCACCTGGGCCCAGCCCACAACCGAGGACCCAACGCTCTGAGGGTGGAGCTGCCGCCGCGCTCAGAACCGGTTACTACCAAGTCACCCAGCCACGGAGATACACCAGGGCCTGCAGGGAGCCATCTGCACCATGCAGCAAGCACAGATCTGCCAGGGCACCAAAATCTCACAGACCGGTGGGTGCCGATTTCCTGATTCCAGCCCTGCTGGCCGGCGGGACCAGGCCTGTCCCTGCCCTCTCCGGGTCGCCTGGCCACAGGGCAGAGCTTCCTGCCCTGGGTGCCTGGCCGGTTACCTCGGGGCCGGTTCAGGTAGTACTTGAGCTCCCACTGGGCGGTGAGGATGTTGAAGTAGCGCGGCTGCTCGAAGAAGCGCAGGTGGTGCCGATTTCCTGATTCCAGCCCTGCTGGCCGGCGGGACCAGGCCTGTCCCTGCCCTCTCCGGGTCGCCTGGCCACAGGGCAGAGCTTCCTGCCCTGGGTGCCTGGCCGGTTACCTCGGGGCCGGTTCAGGTAGTACTTGAGCTCCCACTGGGCGGTGAGGATGTTGAAGTAGCGCGGCTGCTCGAAGAAGCGCAGGTAGCGCATGGAGAGGCGGGTGGGGAACACCCGCTCAAACTGCCCCCGCCGAGCAAACTCGTCCTCTGTCTCCACCAGCACCCGCACGTCGGCTGGGGTCAGGGTGTCCAGGATGGAGGAGTAGAAATCCTGCAGCAAGAGCGCCTCCGCATCACGAGCCCCCCCGGCACTGCCCCGCGCTCCACAGAGTCTCGCCCCAGGATCAGAGTGCACGGAGTGCAGGCGCCCCTCGGGCTGCAGGCAGATATGGAGGGGGAAACTGAGGCACGGTGGTGCCCTGCAGAATCCTAAAGGAGGCGCGGCAGAGCTGGGAACAGAGCCCGGCCCCAGCGGACAGGAGACCCACCAGGAGCCCAGCCCACGGTGCCACAGGCGGAGCAGAGGGAGCGAGGGGCAGCCATGCCCGAGGCCCCGCCATGCCAAGGCAGTGACCACCTAAGATACCCCCAAATGATCCTGGCCAGCGACTCGCTCCCCATACTGCAGAGGGAAAAATCCCTCACCCCACCACATACAGGGATCAGCTGCCCCTCCCTGCCCAAAGCCCCGAGCGGAGGATTTCGAAGCCTCCCAGCATGCAGTGGGCCCCACCGAGCACGCGGCAGGGGGTCGAGATGCAGGGACGTGCCGCAGTGCTGGCAGGGGGGCTCACACCTGGTCAGGCAGCATGTGGGCCAAGTAATAAGCTCGCTTCATCTTCTCGGCCGTGAGCTGCTCCGGGGACGAGCTGGGCCTCTCCTTCGTGGCGCTGCTTACGCTGAAGAGAGGAGGGGCAGCGAGTGAGCTTGGCCGCGGCCGGCTCCCACCACCAAACGGGGTACCACGCGGGCCGCCCCCGCCGC